AAAAAAAAAAAAAAAAAAGAGCTGGTTTGCTTCTGGGAACACCGGAGATTCCCTTGTATTACAAACCCTTTTGTGCCCTCAGGACTTAGACCCGTGTGCATGTGTTATCCATTCAAATGATTAATTTAAAACTAATTTAGTCTAATCCTCTTGCTCTGAAAAGATCAAAGAGGCAACGACTGTCATTCATCCATTCAAACTGATATTCCTTCACTTGGTCCCTCATACTATCTACCACATAACGCTGAAAAATGAGTAGCTCTCTTTCCAGACAGATTGTAAAGAATAATTTCCCTTTATAATAGATAATAAATAGGAAAATTCTTTTCTTCCTAAACTCTATTATAGCTCTACCCCTGGCTATGTACTTTGGCAAATCAAGTCTTATCTAGGTCTCAGTTTCTTCAACTACAAGATACAGGAGAGAGACCACACATAGCAATGTTCTTCAAACTGCAGCTCCAACTTATCCAAAGGTCATGAAGTAAAATTTTGTGACTCACAACCCATGTTGTTTAAAAACAAAATAGAACAGGACATAAAATAATATAACACATCATCCATAATTAGGATGAGAATTGTTTCCAGGCCATTTAATTGCAAAATTTATTTCGTGCCAGAGATCATAGCTTAAAAAGTGTGAAAGCCATGAAACAATAGTAAGGGCCATTTTAAATATGATATTCCAGGACTCACGTCTCCACACTCCATGCAGAATAGAGACAGAAATCCTTACTCAGGCCAAACTGCCATAAATCATTCCCATTCATATCTGGGGTTTCTGGAAACAGTATGTAAAGGCATCAGTGGAGACTGCTATACAGTCAGGACTCAAGATGAGGTCGTATTATCATTACCAAGAGTATAATCATTACTTAAATTATAGTCATCCCAAGGAATATGTTAAAGGAATATTGTATTCCCACTAGTCAACAGAACATGTTGAAGAAGACATTTTTTAATCTGTGACTTACTTTGAGAGATCTGTCAGCACGACTGATTAAACTTCTGTCAGGTAAATCCTTCTGAGGCCTAAAAAATGAGAGTGTTATTCATGAAATACATATACACAAGACTTATTAGGACGATAAAGTTAGTGTTGGCGGGAAAAGCCTTCTATGATCTACAAAAATCCTTTGCTTAATACTTACCATGGATGTAGAGTCTCACCATCCTTTTGTTTTTCATAGAACAGCGTCAACCAGCTGACAATTATTTGTGGGGGTTTTTTTGTTTATTTATTTGTTTAAAGATACATTTATTTATATATACAGAATTGGGGTACAGGCCAGAAGTGCAGAGGCAGTGAGAGACTTCACTTCAGAGACTGAGTGGGGAGCAGAACAGGCAGATTGACTGAAGTACACTGCTGAGGGGAGCAGCTGGCAGGTCAGGAGAGGTCTGCTGCGCCTTGTGGGTCAGCTACCTGGCTGGGAATTGAACTAGCTCTTAAGCAGCTGTGGCGAGCCTCACAAATCTGATCTGTGCTTTAACCCGCTGTGCCACCAGGGAGGGCCCTATTTGTTACCTCAAATTGAATTCATTGTCTATGCTTCTATCTCCAGCTACAGATAGTTACAACACTATCAATAAAATATCATTAAGGACCTTTGATAAGATGCTCAAAAATACGTTAAATTTTAAAAATGTGGTTTTCACATACAATGAATTATCTTTCCATTTAAAAAGGCAGGAAACTCTGTTATATGCTACAACATAAATGAAGTTCGAAAACATGCCAAATGAAATAAGCCAGACACAAAAAGACAGTTACTGTATGATTGTACTTTCATTGTATTAAAATAGGCAAATTCATGGACACAGAAGACGGGGGGGAAAAAAAGACAGATACCAAGGGTTGGAGGAAAGAGGGGATGGGAAGATATTATTTAATGGTGCTGGAATTTCTGTTGGAGATTATGAAAAAATTCTAGTAATGGATAATGGTGACGGTTGTACAATGTGACTACACCTAAAGTCACTGAATCCTACATTGAAAAAATACTTAAGGCCCTCCCTGGTGGCGCAGCGCAACGGGTTCTGAAGCAGCACCACAAGCTAAAATTAGCCACTTCAGTGCGAGTTCAATCCCTGCCCCGGAGGTGACCCACATGGCGCGGCAGACTTCTCCTGACCCTTCCACTGCTCCCCTCAGCAATGCACTTCGTCGAGCTGCCTGTTCTGCTCCCCACTCTGTCTCTGGTGAATCCTTTCACTGCCCCCGTACCTCTGGCCTGTATCCCCAGTTCTGTTTGTCTAAATAAAATTTTAAAAAAAGAAAAGAAAAACTACTTAAAATGGTTAACTTTTCTGTGCTACGTGTTTACAACAGAAAATAACTTCCCCTTTACATTTTCATATGACATGCTATTCTTTTTAAACTATGTTAATTGTGTGTACTGATGATGCAAAGAAGTGTAGGATAAAGACCAATTCTTCTGTCTGATCTGTGGAGTTCTACATGATGTGGGTCCCCTTTTCTACTCCAGCTCCCTAACCTCATCTATGACCAGTCGCCCATTCCGATTCTAAATTCTAAACACAGTGAACTACTTTCCTGTTGGCTGAAGAACTTATTCTTGCCTCCAGACCTTTGTATCAGTCATTTCAGTAATCTACAACATTCTCCTCCCACGTGCAACCCCACTACATGAGACTGCTCTAATTTCAGGTTAAGGCGCAGATGCTACCTGCAGGGAAGATGGTGCCCCAGGTTAGGCTCTCTTTCTGTGTGTTTCCACATACCTGGGGGGTAATCCTCTCACAGAATTTTTAGATAGTAGGCTAGGAAAGGCTCTGAAAGAAAGACTCCATGATAATTTACCTGCCTTGAAATTTAGAAGGAAACTTTGAACCCCGAGACAATAAAGAGCGAGCCTTAGTGAAGGCAAGTCCTGATAAATGATGCCGATGATGCCGGTGACCAGTACGTCTCTTGGCCTGGAGGCAGGGATCTGAGATGTTTACAATAGTGAGCACTGGGAGTTTGTCTGAGAAAACAGATCAGAAGAAAACATGAAACATGTCAAAGAGGCCAAATATAAAGAGTTCAAAGATCTTACAAGGGAGAAGATGGGAACGGGTTCATTCACCTTCTGATTCCAGGGTTTTGCAAGGGGCACCCCGTATGCGTGGGTGGCCCCTCTCGATCCGGCGGATAGTTGCCCAACATTGCGGATGTTGACAAATAGCCATGTTGCAAGTGGTTTCATCCCATTCACTTTCAGATGGCAAATCCATGGCCACAAATGGTTTACAACAAAAGCCAATCTTGTAGCTTTCTAGAGTTCTGGAGAAACAACAGCCACATAACGAAGGATCATACAGCAGCCATGCAATCGAGATCTAAATTTGGACTCAAAAGTAGAAAATATTTCTATTGAACCCATATAGGGCAGTGATAGTCACAGAGTAATTAAGAATTGGGTAATAAGAAAATATGGAAACAGAGTCCCTCCCTGGTGGAGCAACATGTTAAAGTGCAGCACTATGAAGCTACCCATAGCCACTGCAGCACGAATTTGATCCCAGCCAGGGAGGTGACCCACGTAACGCAGCAGACCTCTCCTGACCCACCTGCTGCTTCCCTCAGCAGTGTATTTCAGCAACCTGCCTGATCTGCTCCCCACTCCATCTCTGGTGAATCCTTTTACCTCCCTGTATGTCTGGCCTGTACCCCAGTTCTTGTATGCATAAATAAATAAAATCTTCAATAAAAGAAAATGTGGAAATATCTCAGTATGTAGAGAGATAAGAGTTTAGAAGCAAACTGTTCGAAAGCACCCATGAGCCATTAGATAGCTAAGTGAGCTGGGATTTTCAGCTTCATTTGCAAACTGAAGAAAAACTTATTTGACAGCGTCATTACAAAAATTAAGTTTGATTAAAAGTCTGGCATACAATTGAAAATAAATACTAGCCCCTTTTTCTTCTCCCCTTCCTTAATTACTATGGAGAAGATGCCATCACCTCCTAAAACTTACCAAACTATGAGTAAACAGGGTCACAGAAGTGCTACAGACAGCTCAAACCTTTGGAAGACATCAGTTCTCAGTATCCTCCAATTCTCATACAGGTAACACTACTACCTAACATAAATAACTGTTCAAGCAGCAAATCGGTAGATTTGCCATTACATTAGATGCCGATGGCTTTTTATATATTAGAAATATGGTCTTGGTAATGGACCTGTTTCTTCATATAAAACCAGGGAGGGTAAACCCTAAATTAAATGAGATCACATATTTTTAAGTACATACATATTACAGATGCTCAATAAATGTTACCAGTTTTCTCTCACTAGCCATGCTTTGGCAATCACTACCATCTGTTCCCTAATAATTTTTTAAGGACAGTAGCCATTTCCTCTTTCTTTCATTCACCTTCCTTTTAACACACTTATTGACTAACAAATATGTGAGGGGATCTGTAATGGGCATGGAGCGTAGTAATGAACAAATCGAAGGGCTGCTCTGAAAACTTATAATTTAGACCCAAACTAGCAAATAATTGGCCTGTGATTGCACGAGCTATGACGTGTTTAGCCTGCAAGTTTAGCCATTATTTTGAAATGCAAATAGTCCATAATGTTCACATTCCTGGTTTCCACTTTCAGATCAAAATATCTGATAACAGGAAGGCCCAATTCCAATTTGACAGCAATTGGCTGGAGCCAGTCAGCTCCTAATATCTTTAAAAAGGATCTGTTCGGACGAAGTGGTGAGTGTCCTCACCAGACCCTATTATATCTAACTGAACCAGTTTCAGTCGCCACTTAGCAACGTATTTGCTGTTGTTTTCCTCACAGTGTTTCTTCATAAGAGGAAAATGCCTCCAGTACTTTTGTCTCTTGTCAAAAATAGGAAAGGAGTAGTGGCTTGGGAGAGATGTTTGGGGGGGGGGAGCATCAATGCTCAGTGGGGGTGAGGGCAATTTCTACATAGGTAATAGGAAAATTATACACATTCAAAAGCCACTATAAAGGAAGAGTTGCTTAAACAATTAAAAAAACTAATTCATATAGGTGATTTGAACCAGATTTGGGTTTGTTGTTGTTTTTTAAGATTTATTTATTACTTATGCATAAAAGAACTGGGGCCAGAGGTTGGGGTAGGGGGGTTGTGAGAGTCATCAGAGACAGAGTGGGGAGCAGAACAGGCAGCTGGACTGAAACACACTGCTGAGGGGAGCAGCGGGGCCAAGTCCCCTCCCTTGAACTCATGCTGCAGCGGCCCGATAGCTTCACAATGCGGAGTTTTAACCTGTTGCGCCACCAGGGAGGGCCCTGAACAGTTGTTTTGAACGCGAATGCAATGCTGTCTCCTTCTGACAGCGGTTGCCCTCTCGTTACCTGAGCACTCTGAATTGAGCCCCGAGGTCGAGTCATGCCCTCTGTACATCGCTAGCTACAGCGCTGTCGTAGCAAAGTAGTTTGTTTTCAAAAGTTCCGGGAAGCAATTCTCCTTTATAATTACAAAATCGGGAGAAGTGAAAAATTAAGTATGATCATCAGCTTCAGTAGAGCTGAAAGAAAAATCCCACTTCACTCCGGGAAAAGGGAAGTGGAAGAATCCGGCCTCGGCGGTCCTCGGCTCCACGCCACCAAAGCTGACGCTTAACCGCCAAGTGACCGAAGCCCACCGGGAACACCAGGGTCGGATGGGCGGGTGAAGCGGTGGAAGGACCAGGCGCGCAAGGCCCCGCCCCCCGTTCGCAGGAGCCCCGCCCAGCCAAGTCTGTCTACGCCTTCGACGCTCACGCTTGCCCACAGTCTGCGCCGTCGCCAGGTAACGGCGCAGAGCACTGTGGGGAGTGACGGAAGCCCCAGCGAGCCATGCTTAATTTGGCCAGAACACTACAGACTTGCTGGGGACCTGAAGCCGGGGAACGAGCGTGGGAGGGACGCGCGGGTGTCGGTGAGGCCGATGGATACCCGTCGGGCCAAAATCTTCGCGACGTGGAAAAACTTGCATTTATCGGCGACTTGAGGCGGAGGCGGGACTGGAGGAAAAGGGAGCTATGGCGCGCGGGGCACTGTGGGACAGAGCGTGGGGGCGGGACGGAAGCCTCGTTGGGTCAGACGGGGGCGACGCGGGAAGTCCGGACGCCGTAGCGAGCTGAAGAGGAGGCCTGAGCTGGAGGCGCTGGCCCCGGCCGCAGTAATGGCGGAGAGACCCGAGGACCTAAACCTGCCCAATGCTGTCATTACCAGGATCATCAAGGAGGCCGTGAGCAGCTCGGGTAGTGGGTGGGCGAGGGGCGGGTGAGCAGATCCGAGGGGAGCAGGTCACGGCCGACACCTTTGCTCACCCCGGCTCTTCACTCAGCTCCCAGACGGTGTCAACATCTCCAAGGAGGCCCGGAGCGCCATCTCCCGCGCCGCCAGTGTCTTCGTGCTGTACGCCACATCCTGGTGAGGCCGAGGAGGGCAGAACTCGCTGGAGCTTAGCTGGGACCGAGGCATAATGGAGGCGACCAGCGCCTCCCTGACTCAGAGATTGTGGTCTGGAGCCCACAAACTCCGATAACTGTGCCTTACCTCAGTGGGGGGAGTTGCACGGTCCTATTAGCAGTTCGGGAGCAAAATAAAGCCACCAAGAACTCTGCTCCTAGCTCTTTTGGACAGGGAAGGGAGCCCTAACCCACGTCACACAAACGCCCAGGCATCTAAAATGGAGGCTTCCCTATTCCTCTGGGTGCCCCTTTGCCCACCCACAGTGCGCGCTGAGAGGGAGCTGAGAGCCGGTAACTTTTTTTTTCCAGTGCCAACAACTTTGCCATGAAAGGGAAACGCAAGACGCTGAATGCCAGTGATGTGCTCTCAGCCATGGAAGAGATGGAATTCCAGCGGTTCGTTACCCCGTTAAAAGAAGCTCTAGAAGGTAACTGACATTGCTTTCGATTTCCCAGTTGATTTCTCAGCCAGGTGGAAGGCCATCCTGTGTGGTTGGTCTGGTCAGCTGGCCCTGAGTCTTGCTCAGCTTTGGTCCTCTTTAAGTCCAGTAAGAAGAATCAGATGTGATTTGGAAGCAGTTCAGGTCTCACCAGCCACCTCCCCTGTTTGTGATACTGGCCAGGTGTTTTTTTGTTTGTTTGTTTGTGTTTTTTTTCTTTTCTACCTCTACAGGGGAGTTAGCTACGGTGGCTACTGTTTCACTCTTTACAGCACTGCCTCTTAACCCCCTCCTTCCTCCTTACAGCATACAGGAGGGAGCAGAAAGGCAAGAAGGAAGCTTCAGAGCAAAAGAAGAAGGACAAAGACAAAAAAGATTCAGAGGAGCAGGACAAGAGCAGGGATGAGGACAATGATGAAGATGAGGAAAGGCTGGAAGAAGAAGAACAGAATGAAGAGGAGGAAGTGGACAACTGAATGGGGTGAAAGACTGGCACCTTGGACGATACCACCCGAAACATGGTACTTGTTTAGATGAAGCTTCCTGTGCTGGGCCTGATAGTCTTAGGCAGAGAGCCTGAGAAGACCGAAATAAAAACTGATTAAAATTATCAAAACCAGCACTTCCCAGACTCAGAGCATCTGAGTGGCGGAATCCCGTTTTTGCTCAATCAGGTTATAATCCGAATTAAGGTTATGACTTTTTGGCGAGAGGGATCCTTAATGGCTAATTTGATTAGTCACTTGATCGAGTTTGTTTACTTATATACATGGCTAGGCAGTTTGAATTCCCAAGTCTCCCGCCCCCAAAAGTATTAATTTCCATGCTGCTTGCTGTATTCCGGCCACACGGGCAGTTCAGCCTCCTCTTCTGCCTGTTGTATTCTGTGGTACTTGGCAGTGCTCACCTCAGGTGGTCAGATGGGTTGCCTTTAAGAGCCTACTTCGAGGGGAAAACACAGTCTGTTGCTGTTCTTGACGGTAACATTAATTGCCTTGGCCCCTTCTGTGTGCCCATGGGCTGCTGGCCTTCCGGGCTCTCTGTCCTCTGGGCACACATCTTTGAAACCAGCAGGGTGCAGAGGAACTAGTTGAGCACAGCAGCAGTGTTACACTTTTAGAGAACAGATGGTTTTAGATGCACCTCGCCGCCTGCCGCTGTAAGTTTTAGGATCGCTTGCCACCTCCCAGAAGGTGTAAAATCCTGGCCTTCTCTTGGAGTCCGTCTCTCAGACTTGGACGATGAATTTTCATTGACTTGTTCCAAACTTTATTTCTGCGAGACTTAATTTTCCTCTCTGTGCCTCTCTGCCTCTCCTCTGCTCCCCATTCCCACTTTCTCACGTCTTCCTTTTCGCATTTCCAGTCTAGGAACTTTGATAATCTCCTTCATATCCCAAACCGTGGGTTCCTTTAACTCCTTAGTTCTAATCTCATGTGCTTTCAAAATGACTTTTCTCTGGACTTAAGGGAAATCTGATGGTGCTCAGGAATCTAATCTCCTCACCATACCCCTTCTAGCCGATGCTTGCAACTACTTCTGAAGTGTTTCTGTTGGCTACCTTTACTCTTTTTCTTTCCACTTGGTGCTCCAAGCACTTTTTTTTTTGTTTGTCTCTAAGTCGAGCACTTAGAGATTGACTGGTAGTGAAGTGTAGTTTGACACTGTTAATTTGTTAAATGAATACAGTTGTTTGTTGATAAATGAGTAAAGAATGTTGAGAAAGTTTTACTGCTTTGTACAAATAAAGAACATTCTTGTAAAAAGTGATGGCTCCTATTACTTCATCCTGTTTATATGAGTGTGCTTTTGGAAAGGACTCACTGGTTATGGCCTGCGCAGCTTTGGGGGTCCTGCATCAACTTGGATCACCACAGATCCTGATTGTTCAGAAGCAAGGGAGTGCTCTTCAGCCTCCTGAGTTTGGGATAACTCTGCTGGGTACCATTTACACACTAAATCTCAGCTCAAGACATTTACTGAATCTCTGCTGAGACTGACACTGTTCTAAGTTCCTTTGAGAACTAAGTGAAGACCTGTAAAGGAACACTGCTGTTACTTCCGTTATCTTAGCCACAGTGCTGTATCGTCTGTGATATATGCCTTTTGCATATCGTAAATTAAAACAGTTCACAAAGATACAGTCCCAACAGTCATTACATCTAATGGCTTTTTCCTTTTTTTCTAATATTTATTTATGCATATAAGAACTGGGGTACAGGCCAGAGGAGCAGGGGGTACCCCAGAGACAGAGTAGGGTGGAGAACAGGCAAATCAACTGAAATTCACTGCTGAGGGGAGCAGCAGGAGAGAGAGGAGAGGTCTGCTGCTCCATGTGGGTCAGCCCCTGGCCAGGGATAGGAGGATAGCTTCATAGAGCTGCGCTTTAACAAAACCCTTGCGCCACCACAGAGGGCCTGGAAGTATTCTTTTAATTCTCATGCACCACTTGACTATGACTTCAAGTCCTCTCTGGACTCCTATGGCTTCCGCTGAGCTGTTTCCTGCCTCATCTCTGCTAGTTTCCCCTGTGCATTGGCTGCCAATGGATCTCCCTGAAGTACTCCTGTAGCAGCTCCTCCCTGACTCCTAGTAAGTCAAATCCATACTTAAACCTTGTTCAAAGCCCACCTGAAGAGGACTAGCCTTACAATATTCTAATGTGCTGCAACTTCAATATAAAGTTCCAGGCAAAAATTAATCCCTGAAAGAGTTCCTTCCATATGACTTTAGTCCTTCCCAAATTGTGACTTTAAGAAAAACCATGCTCCTGAGAGGGGAGAGTATAACGTTCAACATAATCTTTTAGGTTATCCATCAGTTTTTCCAAATACCTCAACAACTCCTCTAGTGGTATTTGGATATTTTTTAAAATTTATTTATATATACAGAACTGGGGTACATGCCAGAAGTGCAGGGGCGGTGAGAGGTTTCACCAGAGTCAGAGTGGGAAGCAGAACAGGCAGATTGACGAAGTACACTGCTGAGGGGAGCAGCGGGCTGGGCGGGTCAGGAGAGGTCTGCCTCACCATGTGGCTCACCTCCAGGATGGTGGTCAAGCGGCTGCCGGCTGCCGCCAGCTTGCAGGGCTGCGTCCTTACCCATTGCACCACCAGGGAGGGCTGTGTATTTGAATTTTTAAAATTCATTACTAGTCTAAGGTTAACAGTCCTCATCCTTTCTTTAACCACAGCACTTCATCATGAGATTCTGATGTGGACTTAATAAGGAATAACCATCCTTACATGCCAAGTTATTTTGCAACTTCATTTTTCACCATTGGAAAACAAGCTCACTAAAGAAGAGACATGCTCAAGATCTAATCACAATTTATAAAACGTCATCTATTATCAGTGGCTTGCAACTTAACATTAAGTAAATTTTCCATTTGAAAGCAAATCAAATGATTTTAGGTTAAAAATAAAGTTGTAAAGAGGTCCCATGTCACCCAACTTCCCTTATGTTCACATAGGTTAACGTGGTATCTTATGTAACCATGACACTTTGTTCAAAGAAAAAGTCACTATTTGTATTTCACTAACATCCTTTTTTTGTTCTAGGGTATAACAACCTGCCCCAGAATACTATCAACACATTGCATTTGCTGACGCAGTTTTCTTTTTTTCAGATGAGATAAATTTCATAGAACATAAAATTAACCATTATTTTTAGATCTGCAGTCCATTGCCATTGCCATGTAGCACATTCTCTTGCACCCACCACTTTTTTTTTTAAAGATTTATTTATTCGTACAGAACTGGGGTACAGGCCAGAGTTGCAGAGGGTGAGAGGATTCACCAGAGACAGAGTGGGGAGCAGAACAGGCAGATCTATGAAGTACACTGCTGAGGGGAGCAGCGGGCGGGTCAGGAGAGGTCTGCCGCGCCATGTGGTCACCTCCGGGGCAGGCGGGAATCGAACTCATGCAGAAGTGGTTTAAGCTTCTTTGTGCTGGGCTTTAACCTGCTGAGCCACCAGGGAGGGTCCGTGCACCCACTTTTATCGAGATCCAAAATATTCTAATTACCTCAAATAAAACCTGTATCAATTAAGCATACTTCTCTCTCCCAGGTTCCTGGTAACCTCTGATTTTATGCTCTTAGCAGTATTTGGCACAATGCAATAGGCTGTGAGATGCTCAGAAAGGTTTAGTGGGTTGGTTTGTGTGCATTGGTGGTGGTGGATTTTTTTTTTTTAATTATTACAAAAGTTTATTTTTACATCATTTTGCACATTTTTTTTTTCCATCTCGATTGTAATCCCCGCGGGTTTCCCATCACCAAATCACCCGTGTGCCAGGTGTTGGTGGATTTTATTATTTTCTATTGAAGTATCCATACTAAAAGTGGCAGATAAGGGCCCTCCCTGGTGGCACAAAGGGTTGAAGTGTAGCACTAGGAAGCTAGCTGCAGCCATCTCAGCACCACTTCCATCCCCAGCCAGCGATGGCACAACAGACCTCTCCTGACCACTCCCCCCACCCCACCGCCCCACAGCGCTGCTCCCCTCAGCAGTGTACTTCCTCCATCTGCCTGTTCTGCTCCCCACTTTGTCTCTGGTGAATCCTCTCACAGCTCCTGCTCCTCTGGCCTGTACCCCAGTTCTGTATGTATAAATAAGTTAAAAAAAAGTTGCAGGTAAGTGTAGAGCTTGATGAATTTTCACAAACTAAACATGTAATACACTTAGATGAATAAACAACATGGCCAGCACCCTAAAAGCCCCACTTGCTGGGGCTTGGGTCTCCACGTCACTCCCAAATCCCAGTAATCACTACTCTGACTTCTGTCAGCCAAGTTAGTTTTGGCTGATTTTATATCCATGTATTCCTGAATCTGGCTCCTGCTCAAAATTATGTTTGAGGCTGATTCACAAAATATTAATTCACAAAACTACTTATGGACAAAAATAAAAGACACAAAATTAATTTTTGAAGGGGGGATAAGGAACAATTGTCTCAGTTGAGGGTTAATGGGGGAAAATTGCATAAACAATCACATTTAAATTTTTTCTGCTCTTAGAGGTAGATGATCCTTTTTTTTTTTTTTAAAGATTTATTTAGGCATACAGAACTGGGAGACAGGCCAGAGGTGCAGGGATGGTGAGAGGATTCACCAGAGACAGAGTGGGGTGCAGAACAGGCAGACTGATGAAGTACACTGCTGAATGGGTAAGACAGGAAAGGTCTGCTGTGCCAAGTGGATCACCTCCAGGGTGGGGATAGAACTCAGACTGAAGCGGCTGCAGCTAGCTTGCAGTGCTGCTTTATAACCCTTTGCACCACCAGGGAGGGCCAATCCTATTTTTAATTATCAATAAGTTCAGAGATAGAACTGATGCTTTGAAAGAAATGTTGGGCAGAGGATCTAAAGTTGGGAGAAGAGGTTGGTGGGGGAGGAGTGGTGAAGAGTAATTCTCCTGACAAGGTTAAGGAGCATGGCCAGCGGGCATTGCAGGGAAAGCCCAGGTGACATGCAGCAAATTGTTTCATTATGCCCCACTCTGTAAAATGAGGACAGAAAGAGTTGTCAGATAAGAGAATGTAAATTGCATGTTACTGTCCCTGACTTCTTTCCACCCCTTTCTTATCTTGAACACAATTCCCGTAGCTGGGAAGTAGGCAGTGTCAGCCATCCCTAGCACAAAGCCTCTGTAACTTGAAATCTAAAGAGGTGTAAAACTGGTTTGGGGTGCAGATTCTGAGAAATCAGAAATGAATGTAAGTAATACAATCCTCTGGCAGCATTTAGAGTTCAAAGTCAACATTTCACCAATCCCTTTGCTAGGGCCTTAAGTCCCAACCCTACTTCAGCCATCCACTATTAGTTCACCCAAGTCCCATAACATCACCAGATCCTTCCTGTCCCTACACAGATGGCAGGCTTCCTCCCTCCCTCTCTGGATCTGCATAGCTACAAGGACAGGTCTGCTGCCCCTACTGGGCTTGGCTCTGTTCTGAAATGCCAATGTTTTTCACATCACACCTCCCAATCCGTGAACAGAGTAAGCCCTGAATAATTACCTTGGACTAAATCTCTGGAAACGTAAAAGGCAGCTTGGCGCTGAACTCAACTTTAAAACGCTCAGTCCGCAAAAATGAACTCAGCTATTATATTAGGTATTACGGTGTTGTTTTAATGTCCTTGACATCCAATTATTCTTTCAGCAATTAATCAGAGCCAAATATGTGCGAGACTGGGAAGAGGAGGGCTCTAAGATGAGCCACAGGGCAGAGATCACCTCCCAGCCAAGTTCAAGCTCACACACAAGGGCGACTCCCACGAGGCTCCAGCCCTCCCACGTGGGCTCCCTGCCGCCTGGCCCGGCGGATCAGCGAGTCCCAGCGCGGGCGGGGCTGGACGGCCCAGGCGTCGGCGCACCTGATTGGCCGGTCCTCGGGGTGTGGGGGCGGGGCTACTCCCGCAGCTGACCCGCCCCCAGAGATCCTGCGGGGCCTGCCGAGGCGGGGCCTGCAGGCTGGTGGAGGCGGAGTGTAAACCGAGGGGGACCAGCTGCTTCCGGGTGAACCGTCCCGCCCCCACGTGGACCAGCGGAGTAGGGCGCACCACGGCGGGGGCGGGCGCGGCGCCCGGGAGTCCTCTGGGAGGCAGGTGAGCGGGGCCCCTAGACGGCGGGCTTGGGGGCGGGGGCTGTGGCTCTCCGAGCCCCTGGTCCTCAGACCCGGATTGCGCCGTGTGTCTGAAGCCTGGTGGGGTGCAGCGGGGCGAAGTCCAGCGGGATCCCTGTTTGAGTTCTTGGAGCTCAATGGTCCTTCTCCAGTCGGCGTGGGGGGTTCGCGCCGCCATGAGCCCTGGAGGATAACGGGATTCGCGCGCCCTCCCTAGGGTGCACCTCTCGGAGACCGCTGGGCCGCCCGGGTGCGTAGCCGGACCAGGTGCCTTGCAGGAGAGGGGCGGGAGGTTGGAACTTTATCCCGCCGCTTTGTGTAGGCTTGCAGCACGCTACATGCACTGGTCCATTCAGCCCTTACAATAGCCCGGTGAAGTGGGTGCAGGTACCCACTTGCCAGATGAGGAGACTGAGGTCACACAGCTGGGCAGTGACAAAACCAGGGCTTAAGTCCTCGCTGTCACACTCCAAAGTGTGTTGCTGCCAGCTGCAGCAAGCTCCGCTCTGCCTCCTCCCATCACGACCCCCTCCCCCTTCACCCCGAGCTCTCCAAGCCTGTTTCTGCTGTAACCAGCTTTGAAATCTATCGGAATGAAAGTGTCACCGGTAATAGTAGGCACTGAGGACCTGGGTTCTAACCCATCTGGCTCTGACTCCATGCATGGTTTTGGGCGGGTGACTACCCTTCTCTGAACCCACTAACATTTCGGGGAAGTAATTAACAAGCTGGCAGTTAGAAGTACTGCATTCTTATGTGTCCAAATAGCTAAGCCAGTGGAGACTGGGTTCTTCAAAGCCATAGGTCAAGGCCTGGGTCTCATTCTTTTCTTTATTCTCCTCTGTAATCCCTGTATCTAGTACTGGGGCAGGCCTGGAGTAGATATTCAGGAAATGTGAGTTGAATACACCAAGCAGCCTGTTGGTCTCTTTTTGGAACAGCCTAACAACTGCTATTCCAGCCCTCTGAGATTTTGGATTTCCCAGCCCTGGCCACCTTCTGCCTAGCTGGCCCTCCTGACTGCCTCCTACTCAGTAGTGGAGGAACCTACTGGAACTGGCAGCAGCTCCCCAGCATCAGTGCCAGGACCACAGGCTCTGGAAAGCAGAGTATGGGGGTTCAGTCCTGACAGCTCTGTCAGCTCCTCTTGAAAGCACCCTGAAAAGGCAGTTTCCCCAACTTGGGTTTGTCCAGGTTGGGGAAGTTACCTCCTAAGGAAGGAGAAAGCTTCATGATCAACCTGAAAAACCATGTATTCCTTACTGCCCCCTCTTCCATGAAGCCTTCCTTGATTCCCAGCCACACACTAGTCCACAGCACCCAGTCCAGTCCTCTACTCTGTGGGGTGCTTATTTCTTCACCAAGTAAGCTGCTAGAAGGCAGGAACGCCACCTCAGATAGCTTAAAAGACCCTGTGGCCCCCACCTTAGATGCTTAAAAGACCCTGTGGTCTGAGTGAAAATTCCCCCTTCTGGGCGTGGTGAGGAAGGCCCAGCTTGAGGCTGAGCCAACAGGTCCACGTCCAGCTCATTTCTACTCTGGTAATAAAAATAGCTACGTGCTTACTGTGTGGCTGCTTGGTACCTGACACATACTTCTTTACTATCTCTAATCTCCCCAGCTGGGCAAGTTTGATAGTATCAGCCTCATTTTTTAGATTATGAAATAAAGACTCTGAAAAGCCAATTCCCTTGCCCAGAGTACCTCTCTCTCTCCCACACATACACACACAGAACACAGACCAGACCTGGAACTGTTTGGTTTCTTTCAGCATCACTTTCCACAGGTTTTCCTGGTTCTACACCAACTCCCAGCCAAACAAGCCTGTCCCCACGTGAGTGGGCATCCCAGGTGGAGCCCAGTTCTCTGCTCTTGTCTTCAGTGTCTGGTCCCAGAATTCAAGCTGTGGCTTGCAAGCTCCCTTGATCAGAAGTGTCTCCAAAGTGTGTGACTATCTCTGGATATTCGAGAGAGAGCTTTGCAAAACCTCCATCTGGATTTGGTTCTGCAAACAGATGCAGCTGTTGTTTTGGGGGTGTTTTCTCCCCCGGATGTATTTAGTAAGCCCCCATGGTGGAAGAATGATGGTGTGGGTGACAGGGCACTGGACTAAAAGCCAGAAGCCCCCTGGCCACACCCAGCTGTGACTTGCTGTGGGTGTCAAACAAGCCCCATCACCTCTCTGCACCCCATTTTCCACATCAGAAGGAAAAGAGATCTCAACAAGATTGGTGATTTTCCGTTTTTTAATTTTTTCATAACTGATTCCCTTTTCTCAAATCAATCTCTAAACCCTAATTTTAAAAAACAAATAAAAGTGGAACGACTGTCCTGAGGCCTCACTCACCCTCCTCCCCTGGCCCCCACCCCCAACGGTCAGAGCTCCTGGGAGCCCTACCCTGTTGCTTCTGATAAGCAGAGGCTTTACTCCCTCAGCCTTGAAAAGCAGATAGGGGGTTGGGGCTGTGGAATGCAGCTTTGGATTCCAGAAGCCAGAGGCCTGCCATCAGGGTTGTTCCCCGGGAAGCGAATCTGAGACCAGTAGAACTGGCCTCTTGACTTGAATTTCCAGAATGGAACTGAACAAGCCCCTTATCCTCTCAGTGCCTCCTTTTCCTTATCACTGAGAGTTAGAACAATTCTCTGCCATTAAGTGAGATATTGTCAATATACATATGTGGTTCAGTTCCCAGCACTTAACATACACTCTGTATATTATTCTCTTGTTTTCTCCCTCTCTCCAGCCCCCAAGGCAAAGATGGTATAGGCAGAGAGACCCCTACTAAGTCAGGCGCTTCACAGTACTATGGGTTTCGTAGATGAAACCCTGTACTCAAGTCTAGAACAAATTCAAACTCAGCCTCAGTAACTAGCTGTGGGGTCTTGGGCAAATGACTTAACTTCTCTGCACTGGGCAAATGACTTAACTTCTCTGCACTGGGCTAATCCCTGGCTGACCTGAGAGCTACATCTTACACAAAAGGGGCCCTCAGGATTTGGTGTTTGCTGAAGGGTTGCTCAGTTGGGGCTTGGGACCTCTTTGAAGAGGCCCCTGTGTCAGATGATGGGGCTAACCCAGGGTGTGCTACAAAGGAGGGTCCCTGTGTGGCTTCAGATAACCCCAACCCCACCCACGGGAGGACTTGATAAAATGGGCCTCCTGAGTTGGTTGGGAAGGAGCTAAAGGGGCCCAGGAGACTGCGTGGGGAAAGACATCATCAGTGTACCCAAGGACACCCCACGCCTGGGAGTCACCACAAGATTTTAGTCCTGCTGTTTGGCCTCTGACTTGCCGTGTAACCATGGGTAAGCCCTGCCCCTCTCTGGGCCTTAAGGGCCTTAAGGTTCCATTTAGGCAAAGAGATTACTGGTTCTTTGTTCCCCAGCTTGACTACTGGGTGTCCCCCCAGGTACCTCCTAAAGGAAGTGCCTAGAACAGAGCTTCCCGCCTCCCCTGCAGTCCCGGCTGGCTCCCGGCAGGGCAGCCCTCTTCCTGCCTTGTCCTTGTGTCCACTCTTCCCCTGGGAAGAGCCAGAGCCGCAGCGGCCAGCTGCGGAGACGCCTCTTAGCCCTTCCGTCTCCGCCCCTCTCCGCCCCTCTGACCCTGCCTCAGCGCTCCTCTGCTGGCGGGCTGCTTTGCTCAGCCTGTGATTATCTTCCTAAAGCCAGGCTCTGGCCAGGCCTCTCCGCTGCCTCCTGCTCAGAAATCTCCCCTTCCTCCCTGCTGTTCCCCCCCCCCCCCAGGTGCTCAGACCAGTCCCTTTGCTGCTTCCCACCCTCCCTTCCCTTCCTGAGAGACTTTTCTCCTCATTTCCTCTGCCAAGCTGAGCCCACTCATCTGTAAAACTGAACTGGCCCACCCTAGTGGCACAACGGGTTAGGACACAGCACTGCAAACTGGCCACAGCCACCTCAGTGCAAGTTCAATCCCTTGCCCCAGAGGTGATCCACTTGGCTTAGCAGACCTCTCGTGTCTCACCTGCTGCTCCCCTCAGCAGTGTACTTCCTCACTCTGCCTCCTCTGCTCCCCACTCTGCCTTTGGTGAATCCTCTAGCCCCCCTGCACCTCTGGCCTGTACCCCAGTTCTGTATGTATAAATAAATACATCTTTAAAAAAAACAAAACTGAGTTCAAGGCCCCCTGTCTTCCTCCAGTGAGCTGCTTCTGCCAGCCTAACTTATCACCTTGGAACTCCTGGTTCTTTTATGGGGTGCTCCTCCCTGCTGACATGTGCTCAGTCACCCCTGCCTTCCAGGACTGTAGTGCCAAGTCCGAGAGAAAGCACCTGTGCAAGTGTCCAGAGTGGCCTGGACACAGGTGTCCAGAGACCAGTGACACCCAGCCTCCTCCTGCCCACCACAGGTCTGGCATTAGGGCAGTTCTGTACTGCATACAGACTTCCTTTGTGCCAGAGGGCTGGGGTGAAGGAGCAAACATGAGGCCTGTGAGCCCTGCCCTGGGGCACTGGGTGAGATAGCAGGGCACTGTTGCCTACCAAGCGGAGTGTGGTCTGGACAGAAATGCTTCAGTGGAAGAGCGAAGGAGAGGTACCTGGAGAGAACCCGGTAGAACTTGGCAGTGGGCAGATTGCGGAGAGAGCAGGAGCCTCCAGATGGGCCTGTCCTGGGGATCAGCGCTGGGAAAGCTCTTCAGTGGCCACTCTGTGGGGGCTGGGGAGTATGCATCTGGCCAGCTGTGCTGTTTCTTCCTGCCCCTGAGAAGTCAGAATAACAAAGGGTTAACAATGCTTTTCTCTAGAAGGTAAAGGTAGAATTGCAGATTTCTTTCTTTGTGCTTATCTGTACTCTTCTAGGATTTCTGCCAGGCACATGGACTTTTTTTTCATAGCACAAACAATCTAAGTGGTCACATGCTTATTTCGAATCCAGCAGAGTGGTTTTTCCAATCAGTGGTAAAAAAAAATGCCTTAAAATAAAGTCAATGACTAGAGAAATGTAACTTAAAAAATAAAAAAGAGACACACCATATAAAATACAAGCCCAGATTTTTATATTAGTAGTTTGAAAAGGCTATGGGGACCCAGGGTGAGCAAAATGGGGGTGGGGTCAAAAGGTACAAACTCCCAGTTCCAAAATAGGTGAGCGGTGGGGATGGACTGTCCAGCTTGGTGACTGTAGTTAACAGCATTTGAAAGCTGCTGAGAGAGTAGATCTTAAAAGTTCTTAGAGGAGGAAAGAAAAAGGTGTCATATATGCGGCGAGGGATGTCTACTAGAATTAGTGTGAGGATTGTTTTGCAGCATATACAAATAGCAAATCATGATGTTGTACACCTGACATGAATGTAAAGTGATGTGTCAGTTATAATTAGGTCAGTAAAGAACGCGCTGGGCAAGTGCCTGGAGGCCTCCTTTCATGTCCCTGTCTGCTGGGTGCAGGCCAGTGAGGGTCCGTGATCCGCACCGGGAGCCAGGGCAGAGCAGGGGAGGTGGGGATGTGACTGGCCCAGGAGGACTGGAACCTGGACTCACATCTTGCTTCCTACTCCCCAACCCCCCAGGGCTGAGCGAGCCGCAGACCAAGAGGCCCTCACTTCCTACCGACTGGATGCCCGGTACCCCGGGTCCCACCATGCAGCACCAGTCAGTTCTGCACAGCGGCTACTTCCACTCCCTGCTTCGGAGCTGGCAGGCGGCCAGCACCACCCTCGGTGCCTCCAATCTCATCTACCCCATCTTTGTCACGTGAGTCCTCATGAATGGGTCAGGCCTCTGGTCTGCAGCGGGTCAGTATGGTTATGGGTATGACTAGGCAGGTGTCTGTTGCTCAGAGTAATAAAATGGAATGCTCAGTGCATTAGACGTAGCCAACGGGCAGAGGGCAGCTGTCTTAGGAACAAAACAGACCTCAGAAAGAACTCAATCTCCCCATTTAGGAAGTAAGACAAATCCTTGTTTGTCATCCTGAGCTGCTGCAGTGTGCAGAGGCTGAGGCTGTGAATGCTGTGGACATGGAAGCAGGGGCGAGGGGACTCATCGATCCCAGCAGCCACTGCCGTCCACTACGTGCCAGCTGTGCACAGGGCCTCTGCTCAGCACCTCTGTGCATACCTCGCTCAGTCTGCAGGAGAGAGGTTGGATGTGATCCCCTAGAATGTCATCTTCAAGATGGCAGAGACTTTTATGTCTTGTTTACGGTTGCATCGCCAGGGCCTAGAATAGTAGCTGGCACGTAAGTGCTCAGGAAGGATTTGTTGAGTGCAGGAATCCACCCAGGAGACAGATGAAGGCTCAAAGAGATGGGACAACTTAGCCACAGGCACCCAGTGAGTAAGTGGCTGGGTCAGCAGCGAGGGCCCTCAGACAGCAAAGTCCATGCTCTTAACAAGCTGACTCCTTCCGGTGATCACTGTTCTCCTAGTACATTTGCTCTTGTCACTGTTACTCTGATTGTTCCCATGATTATTTCAGGCCCCTGGCGTGGCCGGGCAGGGGAACCAGACCCTGGGCTCCCTCCTTCTCCCACCATCTCCATTCCCCTAGTCCTTCCGAGCGCCCTGACCGCTGTCTCCCCCTCACCACTGCCCCTTCCCACAACTTCCAGTCCATGGCCCACCCCCCCACTCTTGCAGGGATGTTCCTGAGGACATACAGCCCATCGCCAGCCTCCCAGGAGTGGCCAGGTAGGAGGATGGTGGGGAGGGCGAGGGGATGTGGGAGGGAGAAGTTTCGCAGGTGGAGGTGCCAGGAAGCAGAAGCTGACTGGGATGTAGAAGATCTGGAGGGGCTCAGTGGACTTTGGGGTCAAGATGTGCCGCAACAGAAGAGGCACATAAAGAAAGCAAGAATGGCCTGCTCCTACCAGAGGCATCATAACAGAGCTGGCACAGAGGATGGCTGAGCTTGACGTGAGAGTTCAGTGCGAGACTCGGGCTGCCCACAGCTGCGAGCTGAGGCCTTGGGCCCCCTTCTGTGGGTGGGTGTGTTCCTACCCCTCCTAAAAAAAGGCACAGGGTTATTGCTGCATTATTCACAATTGGAAAGATTGGAAACAACCCAAATGCCCAAAAGTGGATGAATGGATTAAAAAGATGTGGTACATGTACACAATGGAATATTATTCAGCAACCAAAAAAACCAAAAAAAAGAAACACATGCCTTTTGCAGCAACATGGATGGAGCTGGAAGGGATCATGCTTAGTCAAATAAGCCAGAAAGAAAAGGAAAAAGACCGGATGGTTTCACTCATAGCAGGAGTATAATGGATCAGGCGAGAAAATAACATTAATAATAATGAACAGTTATATAGCAGAGACAATTTATGGGGATGGATGGGGAATGGGATCAAAAGCAGTGGGGGGAGGGAAATGCACTGGGCTGTGGTGATGGCACATGGGTGATTTGGTGATGGGAAGCCCACAGGGATTGCAGCTGAGATGGGAAAATGCACAAAATGATGTAAAAATAAACTATTATGTTATTAAAGGGGGGGGCGGGAGCGCTGACCTGGGGCCTGCCTGACTGTAGCCACCACACGCAGGTACGGTGTGCAGCGGCTGGAGGAGATGCTCAGACCCCTGGTGGAAGAGGGCCTGCGCTGTGTCCTGGTCTTCGGCGTCCCCAGCAGAGTTCCCAAGGTGAAGAATCGGAGGAAGAGTCAGGAGAGGGCGGGGAGGGGGAGCCTCAGTTCTGCACTAAGCCTTGCTCCAGTCTTGGGGCCTCAGGTGAATTAACACAGCACCTGAATCCAGCACCCTTAGAGGATCAGGAAAATGAGGAGGTCTGGGGGTGTCGAGGCCAGCGCTCCAGTGGACCCTCCTTCCCAGCCTGAGTCCTTTCCCTGCCACACCGCCCACCCCCCTTGACCTATGCAAAGGGCTGACTGGGCCCAGACCCCACTGTCCCCTGTAGGTATCAGTGATGAGCTATCGCCAACCCTGATTGAACAAGTCAAGGCCCTTTGCAAAATGGGGCAGTTTTCAGTCTTCCCCGTCCCGAGGCTGACACACCCCCTGCCTGTCTCCACTGCCAGGATGAGCGGGGCTCTGCGGCCGACTCCGAGGACTCCCCGGCCATTGAGGCCATCCGTCTGCTGCGCAAAACCTTCCCCGGCCTCCTGGTGGCTTGCGACGTCTGCCTGTGCCCCTACACCTCCCACGGTCACTGTGGTGAGCCCCTCCCTTCGTGGCCCTGCTCCCACCTGCATTTCCACTGCCCAGTCCCCCCACGATGGGGTGGCCCAGAGCTGGGATGCTTCCCACAACGCCACTCTTCGTACAGGGATTCTGAGTGAGAATGGGGCATTCCTGGCTGAGGAGAGCCGCCAGCGGCTGGCAGAGGTGGCACTGGCCTATGCCAAAGCAGGTGAGTGAGCCGGCCACAGGGGTGAGCCCCTCTATGTTGGGGAGGTAACAGTGTGGGTGGGAGGGCCCCAGAATTCTGAAGGCCACTCTGCCCCTCAGGATGTCAGGTGGTGGCCCCTTCAGACATGATGGATGGACGCGTGGAAGCCATCAAGGAAGCTCTGATGGCACATGGATTTGGCAACAGGGTAGGGACCAGGAGTGCAGGTGGGCATAGGGAGGTGAGGAGGGCATCAGGACCAGCACTGTCCCTGTAAGAGCTGAGGATCCCACGCAGCACAGAACAGCGTTGGGTAAGACCTTTGGGACCCACCTCAACTTCCCAGCGCTCCTATGGGACCAGGCCTCCGGCCCTACTTCCCAGCCTCGGTTCTTTCTCTCCCTGCCTCGTCCTCCTGGGCCACCCGCACAGGGCTGGCTGAGCCCAGACGCCACTGTCTCCCTGTAGGTATCCCTGATGAGCTATAGTGCCAAGTTCGCTTCCTGTTTCTATGGACCTTTCCGGTGAGTGGGGGCAGCGTGGCGCCTTAGCCCAAAGCTGAAAACCCTGCTGTCAAACCCCTGACCTGTTGGCCCCACACTGAACACCCACACCCCCAACCATCACACCACATGCCCCTGCTCCCCAGGGATGCGGCTCAGTCAAGCCCAGCTTTCGGAGACCGCCGCTGCTACCAGCTGCCACCCGGGGCCCGGGGCTTGGCCCTCCGCGCCGTGGTGAGTGACCGGTACCTGAGCCCCACCCAGCCTATCCCCGCTGCTCGCCTCACCTCCAGGGCTCTGCTCATTCCCTCCTTCATCCCTTAGGACCGGGATGTGCGCGAGGGAGCTGACATGCTTATGGTGAAGCCGGGAATGCCCTACCTGGACATCGTGCGCGAGGTCAAGAACAAGGTGAGCAGAATAAAGACGGGGGCACCAGGGCAGATGAGAGAGGGACCTGGGATTGAGGGGCTGCAGTGGGGCCCAGAAACCACCACAGGCTGCTGCATCAGGCTCACTGATTGCCCATTGAGCAGTTCTGCTCTCAATGGGCATGTTCGAGCTGGGGACCAGCTGCAGTGACTTGGGGTCTGGGGTGCAAGATGGTCACACAGATTGCCTCAAGAAGAAAGGCACCCCACCCCCACAGGCATGCCCCCCTTCCACCCTTTCTGCCCACCATGGCTTCTCTGTAGCACCCGGAGCTGCCCCTGGCTGTGTACCACGTCTCTGGAGAGTTTGCCATGCTGTGGCACGGAGCCCAGGCTGGGGCGTTTGATCTCAAGGCCGCCGTCCTGGAGGCCATGACTGCCTTTCGCAGAGCAGGTAAGCTGGCAAGTAGTGTTTTGACCTGTGCCACAGGCACTGATAGGCACATTGCCCAGGTAGGGAATCAAAGTCAAGAGACAGCCTGGATCTCATGCTGGAAACCCAGTGATTTAAACAGACACGAGCCGAAGGGAGGGCACTGGGTGGCAGAACAGGGCATGCGGGCTGGAGGAGCAGCGCCCTCCCTGACATTTGGGTTTTGAGACCGTGGCCAAGCCGCTTCTCTGACCCTCAGTGTCCTCAGCCTGGTGCAGGGTTGTCGTGAGGATTCAATGAGATGATTGAGTGCCTGGCACATGCTTATCGCTTCATAAACGGGAGCTGGTTTTGTTGGTAGAGATCGCAGCGTGGGAAGAGAACTGACAGCTCATCTCTTTCCCCCACTGCATATTTTATACTTTGGCAAACTGGGGCCCAGAAAGAGGAGTTGACTCGCCCACAGTCACACAATGTACAGAGCGAGAGCTGACTAAGCAGGGCTCGAGCGAATGCTGTGGTACCTCAGGCTATGCCTCTGGGTGGTAGCCCCCAGCCCCCCCATCTCCCAGGCGCACCCAAAGACGGTACCCCACCTGCTTCCCTTCTTCCTGCTCTTCTCTCAACACAGGTGCCGACATCATCATCACCTACTACACCCCTCAGCTATTACGGTGGCTAAAGGAATGACTGAGAACTTGTGCAAGACCCAAGAACTAGAACTTTTCAAAGTTCCCAGGGCCTTGGAAAAGTGAAAACCAAAGTAAATGCTGCTTTTAGAGTCGTGCCCTCTTGCCCTCTTCCTGCTCACACGCTGGCAGGGCCCCCTCCAGGGCTGGTTTCCACAGCATGCCAAATGTTCCACTTTTGCAGCCACTTCTTCATGGGTTCTCCCAGGCCCCCCCCCCAACCCCTCCCCTGGGTCAACAGTAAGACTCACCTCTGCTCCAGCTTCTTCCTGCAGTGCAGCTCCACCTTGAAGACAAGCAGGAGTTGGGTGCAGGCTCAGTGGGTCCTGGGAGAGGGCTTGGAGCAGGAAAAGAGCAGTTAGATCTTGGATCCTAAGAAGCTCTGGAAAACTCAGCACTGCCAGCAACAGAGCTGGGCTGCTGGCACCAGGCCTTGACTGGCGTCTCTGGTTTATAATTGAGATCTGCTGCGATGCCACCCAGATCAGTGGTTGCCAGCCTACCTGCAGCTGCCCATTCAATTCTGTTCTGAGCCATAAACCCAAAGAATTGCTCTTTAATGCAGAAATGTTGCCTGAGCATCATATTCAGGAGCCAAGGGAGAGTTCCTGACTGTTGGGGATGCTACCACCATGAGGCTTTTTATTGAAGAGAAATTTTGTGAGAATGTCTGCTCTGTGCCCAAGATTGGGCTTGTTACTGGGAATACAGCAGAACAGCTCCAGCTTGTGTCTGTGGAATCTATACAAGGACGGGGGAGGGGGGCAAACAGCAATAAGAACACAGAAAACAGCAGTTACAACCCATATGGGTGCTTGGAAGGAAAGGAAGACAATATACAAGAGGAAGGGGCCGCTCTTAGGAAGGTGGCGAGGAAGCCATCCCTGGGGTTAAGGGACAAGGAGAGATCCTTATAGAGAGAAGCCTAGAAGCTCCGAGAATAACACAAAGTATGCAGAGATCCTACAGGAGGAAGAGGCTGGTCAGGCTCCTGGGATCAGATCAGGAAAGGGCTTCAGCACTGGAGGCTCGAAAGGTAAATCCTGCACCTTGTAGGAAGCTTGGATTTAGAAAGTCATCGAAGGATCTTAACCGTAAGCTGTGTGTGTCAGTTTCCCACACTGCTGCTATGCAAAAATGGAGGGGACAGAAAGAAAAGAGTGCGCCAGAGTCCGGCTGGGACGTTCTTGCAGACCCCCGTGAGCAGTGACACCCTGGAGCAGGTGGTAGCAGTGGAGAGAAGGACACGAACAGACTCAGCATTTGTTCCAGACACAATTAGCAGATTGCGTTGATGGTTTACATCAGGGGGGCCCGAGGGTATGGAAAACAAGGATGCCTCATGGGTTTCTGGCTCCAGCAACCAGCATGTGGCCCCAATTCATCCTCTGAGACGGACAGAATATAATGTTCCCCTCGCGAGAGCTGAGGCCCAACCAAGATGGGGCCTGTTTGCAGGCCCCACCGCCCCTGTGCTGAGCAACAGGGATCCCAACTCTAGGACCACCAGAGTGGTACAAGAGAGGTACAAGCCATGCCACGATTTAGAGTAACCGACTCCCAGCAGCTCTTCTCCTCAGACCAGCCCCTCCCAGTCCGTGGTAGTCTTCCTCAGAGCTGTGACCAGCTCAAGACCGCCTCTCATTCTGTCTTCAGGCTTTTGAGAGCTGCCCAACCCAACCCAAGGCTTGTATAGTCACAAGCTTTCACCTGCCAGGGAGCCTAGGCTTGAATTTACCACAGGGAGGCCTAAAGCACTAAGGAGTAGCTGATAGCCCCTGACTTAGACCAGACCAGGGCTCGTAGTCATCTCAGCTACTTGGCTTCCTGGCCCCTAGACCCTGAGCTCATTTCTGGTGCGTGTGGACGGAAGTTTCTGCAAGACCACTCCACACTGGTTGCTGAGCTAATATAAGGCCTAGCTCTACTCTAGGCAGAGAGGAAGACATTGCCCTTAGGTGCCAGCAGTTCTGGGGCAGCAAACACCTGTGCAAAGAACCCCTTTCCCCACCCTGATGTGGGGTGCTGTGGGGAGGGGATAAACAGCAGAATGAGAACTGGATGGCAGACATGTCACCAGTGACCTGGAGGTCCCCAGAACCTGACCTGGATTGAAGGATCAGAAAATGCTGCCCTGAGGCCCTGGCATTTGCGCTAAGCCTGAAGGATGAGCAAGCAAACCAGGGCATGTTTGGGAAGAGAATTCCAGTCGGAGGGGACAGCTGTGCAGAGGCCCTGGGGCCCAAGTGAGCTGGACGAACAAGGCAGGTGTGGCTGGAATGGGGCAGGAGGAAAAAGTCTCCCGAGCTGAGGGGACAGAAACCAGGGCCCGAGCATGCAGCAGCTCAAAGACCATAGTTAAGGAAGGCAAGCACCTTTCCGCCTCCATTCCAAGAGAGGAAGGAATGTCTCGCTGGAACGTGCATTCTATGAAAGCACAGACGGCACAGTGGCAAAGCAGAGATGAGACACACGTGGCCTGGTCTGGGGCGGAGCGGTGGGATAGACCAGCGAACGGATTGACAAAGCAGAGTAGACTTGAAGGGTGAACTTGGCTTGGGCTCCTGGGTGGCTGAGGGCCATTTACTGAGATGGGGAAGCTTGAAAGAGGATCAAGGTGGAGGGGGAGTCCTGTGTTTGCACTGAAGAAGTGCTATCTTGCACTTACATGAATCGCCTGAGACCATTTAACAAGTTTGTGGCAGACCTGGGTCTGGAACCCCAGCACAACAAAACAGATTTGAACCACATTGCCCTAACCACTGTGCCATGCCAGCTCCCACTAAGGAGAGAATTATGGGTCTAACATGATGCTGTCTACTCCAGTAATGGGGCAGGCCAAGGGGCTGGGTTGCCTGCAGGCACCATGGTCTGTGTAAGCACCTTCTGGAGCTAGTCCTTGTCCCCCTGGGTGCCAGCCTGGTGTCCACTCCAGCCCAGGTGTTTCGTCTAGAAAGTCAAAAATGGCCTGGCAGGCAGCTGGCAGCATTTGAGTGGCCCTGGAGGAACTGTCTCCTCCATGTCTGTCTCCCGCTGGTAGCCAGCCCTTGCTAATAACTAATTTCACCTTGGGCAGAAAAGTCGACCTTCACAGTTGGCAAGGCATGTTCTCCTCAACGTCCTGGGGTCACGGTGACAAGTCAGCTGCATTACGGGCCTCTCTAGGAGAAGAGGCTGTTACCCCTCTCAGATGTGCCAGCTTAGACTTAGGGCATCTGTTTCAGTGGGGCCTGAAGGCTGCAACAAAAATTCCACCATCCTCACTTGCTATTTTACCAAGATCCCTAAAACTCTGACCTCAATGGAGATGTGGTTGAGGGACCCATCAAGCAACAGGTATTTTTAGCCACCACTTAACTCCCACTTCCCCCACTAGGGGAGGGGAGAATCCTGACCTCCACGACAATGTGGGCTCTGCCAATTCCACATCTTAGGGCCGATGACCTGCCACACTCATCACTTCTGTATCAGGTACTCTTGGCTGCACGGGACAGAAATGCAGGTCCAGAGCAAAACACAGAAGTGACTGTTTTTCACAACTGGATTGGGATGAGGTTAGGTGTGACTGACCCTCAGGTCGAAAATTCTCATGCAGGGCTGTGTCTCTTCATAGCTTCACCTCCGTCTGTCTCTGCTTGGTTTATTCTTAGATGGGCCTCTGACACCTGACAGTAACATCATACCAACATGGTCCTTAAGACTTTCAGTTCCAGGCCTCCCTGATGGTGCAGGGGGTTAAAGTGCAGCACTATGAAGCTATCTGCAGCCACTGCAGCACAAGTTCAATCCCCGGCTAGGGAGGTGACTCAAAGGGCACAGCAGACCTCTCCTGCCTCATCCACTGCTCCCCTCAGCAGTGGATTTCAGTCAGTCCACCTGTTCTGCTCCCTACTCTGTCTCTGGCGCATCCTCTCACTTCCCTGCACCCCAGCTCTTGTATGCATAAATAAATTTTTAAAAAGACTTAGAGCCCCAGAGAAAGCCAGGCCCTTTCCCATCATCACCTAGCAAATCTCTGGAGGTTTCAGTCCACCCAAGTCACAGACAGGCCTCTGCTGAGGGACTAAGCAATCACACACGGGCCTGGGGAGGTCTCAGTTTTCGTACCTGCGATCCCTTTGCTAGTAGGGTACCCTTCCCGCCAGTAGGAAAAGGAAAAAGGCAAGCGGAGGGCATGACCCATCCTTAAAGGACACAACCCAGACATTGCACAGATCACCTCTGTCCACATTCATCAGAACTTAGTCACCGGGCACACCTAGTTCTGTGACGGAGGCTGAAAGTCTAGCAGGGCAGCCATGCGCCCAGCTACCACTTGGTTTAATTACTAACCAAGGCAGAGAGAGGCTAAGGGAGCGAACTGCCGTCCCCACCACACTGAGTTCCTAGCACAGAAACCGCCGTCAGAACACGGAAGGAGGAGCTCCTTTAGAGCATCTAGTTATGTACTCTAGATGGAGACGGATCTGTCCAAATTTGTGCAAGCCAGTGACAGACCATGGCTGGGATTCAGGGCTCCTCGTTCCAGAACTGGGGGAGTATGAAGGGTTAAGGGTATGAGGGTGGCTTGGAGGGATTTTTGCTTTAAATGAACTCATTTATGTAGCTTCCAATGTATTTTTATATTCATGTGTTATAGCTAACAAAGATGTACTTGTGCTATTTGTATAAATGAAAATGTGCCCAGTATATGTAAGAGGAAAATGTGTTATCTCCACTAGTCAACAGAGTAGTTCAAGTTAAAGCCATAGTAAGATACCACCATGCACCCAGATGCCCACACATATGCCAGTTGTTCAACAATGAATTGCGGGGCTCTCCCTGTTAGCGCGACAGGTTAAAGCGCAGCACGGAGAAGCTTGCCGAAGCTGCTTCAGTGTGAGTTGGATCCTGGCCAGGGAGGTGCCACATGGCACTGCAGACCTCTCCTGAACCACCTGCTGCTTCCTCTCAGCAGTGTATTTTAGTTGATCTGCCTATTCTGTTCCCCACTCTGTCTCTGCTGAGTCCTCTCGCCTCCCCGCACCTCTGGCCTGTACTCCAGTTCTGTATGCAGCAAATGGAAATGTCACACAATACTGACTTCAGGACACAGTCTGGGTCCTTCTAACATAGTACCTTCTAACTCCTGAACAGAGATGTGAAAATGCACATATGTTTACCTAAAGACATCTCAGGAATGCTCACAGAGTTACCAAAAACCCAACCAAGTAAATTTGAAGATCCAGGTGACTCTATTCAGCAACTCCTATGTCAGGCAGTATCCCACTACGAATAGAGGCATTTTAAGGACTGGTACTAGAAGCAAGGTTAGAAGAAAGGCAAGCTAAAAAGGGAGCTGATTCCAGGCTGTTACATCGGTCACCTTCCTGAGGGAGATAAAACAGGTCTCTCTGACGGATTATCTTGTTAGTACTGGCAGGAGATTCAGGTTGAGGGGTCAACGACCCCCACAGATGCTGAAGCTCTAATTAGATTAGATATGACATCTTGGTGTGCTGATACCCGGCCTTAGCATAAGTGATTCCGTTTGGGGCCTGTTGTCATTTTTTAATAACGGCAATATTTTCCTAATACTGTAATGCAATTATAGCTAAGTCAGGTGTCAACAGTAAAATGTGGTATATTCAGTATGATAGAATACAGCCTTGCTCCACTTAACAACAGCGACACCTTCTGAGAACTGTATCCTTAAGTGACTTTGTCATTGGGCAGAGTCATAGAGGACACCAACCCAGGTGCTTTATATCGGGGCCAGTGTCATACATGCTGTCTGTGGTTGACAGGACATGTCATGTGGGGCATGGCTGTATTACATGTGAGAAGGAAGGAGCTATGAGAACACACAGGACATGGATGAGGCTTACAAATAAAATCGAGCAGAAGAGGCAAGACAAAGTGTCTTCCATTTATAGTCTAAAAACAAAGTAAAGCATGCAACTGGAAGCCAGCACAGTAGTCACTGTTTCCTGGGATAAGGGACTAGAATAGGGCAGGCACTGCAAGGTCTTGACACTCTTTATTGGACTGGGTGCTGTTTACATGGGTGCTTCGATTTGTAAAAATTCAAGGGCAGGCATACTTTTTGCTTTATGATATACTTTAATAAATGTTAACTTTAAAAAGTAAATGGACCCTCCCTGGTGGTGCAGTAGGTTAAGGTACAGCACTATGAAGCTATCCACTGCAGCACGAGTTCAATCCCTGGCCAGGGAGGTGACCCACATGGCGCAGCAGACCTCTCCTGTCTCGCCCGCTGTTTCCCTCAGCAGTAGATTTCAGTCTGCCTGTTTTGCTCCCCACTGTCTCTGGTGAATCCTCTCACTAACCCCCCTCCGCACCTCTGCCTATACCATAGTTCTTAAATGCATAAATAGTAAATCTTATAAAATATATAAAAATAAGTAAATGAAAATTTTAAAGTAAAGACAGAGACATGCCTGGTGGCCCAGCCCAGGTTTACTTGACGCTTTCAGTAGGAAAAAGGGAAAAGCCCTTCTGTAAGAAACTTGGTTTTCTCAAGAGAAATCTCTTCAGCCAGAGTCTAATATAATACACGTGGTGTCTCCAGGAGAATCAATCACCAGGCCAGAGTCCACACAGGCTAGAACAAGGAAAGAGACCTTCTGGGGATTTCTGTCATCAGACTTAGGAAGGAAGCTACTCATTAACAATACAGTACCCAGGTCTGAACAATTCAAAGACACTTGTTTCAGAATAGTAGGGTGTTTGTGTTTTGTGTGTGTGTGTGTGACATGAAAGGCTCCTTTTTCTCTGCTCAAAAAGATACTTGGAGAAACTAAAAAACAGAATCTTAAAAGTGAAATCAGGGCCATAATAAGGGAGGAGCATCACAATCACATAGACTATCATGGAAATAACCCTTTGTGCAAGAGGTAGTTCATGTGACATAGGATTTCAAGCCCTCAGTAGACCTAGTTTGTTGTTTTAAAGATTCATTTATTTATGCATACAGAACTGGGATACAGGCCACAGATGCAGGGAATGAGAAGATTCACTGGAGACAGAGTGGGGTGCAGAACAGGTAGGTCTACTGAAATACACTGATGAGGGGGGAGAGGGTATGACAGGAGGGGTCTGCCATGTGGATCAGCTCCCTGGCCTGGGATTCAACTCATGATTCATACATACCACAGTGGCTTGTGACTGGCTCTAGCTTGATAGCACTGAGACTTTAACCCCTGTGCCACCAGGGAGGCCCAGTTTTCTAATCTGAAAGGATCTTCTCAAAGAGCTTTCTCATAAGCTCTCATTAGAACCCAGAATGTTGTTTTCATGTGGAGAAACTGAAGTTCTATGGGCAAAGTGATTTATCTTAAAAATTAAAAACTAGCCTGGACTTTGGTTGGAAGTTAGTTTTGTCTCCCCACTTATTACATTGGAGACAGAGAAAAAAAATTTTTTTAAAGATATATTTATTTATTCATACAGAACTGCGGTAGAAGCCATAGGTGCAGGGGTGGTGAGAAGCTTCACCAGAGACAGAGTGGGGAGCAGAATAGGCAGATCGCTGAAGTACACTGCTGAGGGGAGCAGCAGGCGGGTCAGGAGAGGTCTGCCACACCATGTGGGTCACCTCCGGGCCAGGGATCGAACTAACACTGCAGTGGCTGTGGCTAGCTTGCAGTGCTATGCCACCAGGGAGGACCCAGAGAAAAAAATTTAATGGTGGCTCACAGGTAACAGTGCTTGGATCAGAAACTGGAGGCTAAGACTAAGTAACCCTGAAAGGTGCATAATCTCAGACATCCCGGGATTCTGTGAAATGCAGGTGGGCACCCAGTGTCCAAATCACCCTTCCCACTCCCACCTTTAGAAATCATCACAGCTCATCCATCCCACAAAGTGAATTTTTGTGAGTTTTTGCTAGTGAGTTTGATAGTTTAAGAACGACACTGAAGCCAGGTTGTTCTTAATAGGCCTGAGACATGTGACTCGGCGCTTTGTACTTCCTCCTGGGCCTGAGTCCAGTGAGGATGAGGCCACGCTTGAATAAAGTGAACCAACCAGCCTTGGAATACAGTAAGTGGTTTTCCTATAAGCAGGTGGGGAGGGAAGGAAGAAAAGACAAACAAATAATGTCTGTTTACATGTTTTTGTGCTCCCAGAAAAATGGCTGATAGAGTAAACAAAACCCCGGCAGAGGAGGGCAGGCTAAGGGGGGCCTCCTTTCCTCTTGCCCCCTCCCGCTGGGGTCCCAGCTCCTAGACACTTGTCACTGGAGTCCCTGCCCCTTAGTCTTTACCACGCTGCCATTCAGATCTTGCTCCTGCCCTAACCTCCCCCACCCGAGTGCCCTGCCACTGTTCCCAAAACTCATTATGCACTATTGCCTCCGTAGCGCTTATCATGAGCTGAAATTTGGGTTATTTACCTGGTCTCTGTGTGCTCCCTCCTGTCATGGAGGCAGGAACAATGTTGTTTCCCACTGCGTCCTCCGTGAAGGTCAAGGTCTAGCACAGGGCAGATGCTCAAGCCCTCAGACACCAGGTTGGTGGGAAGCGGGAGGGGGTCAAAACAGGGCAGGGAAGAGCACGAGGGACCGCGGGGCTGGTTCAGGGGCGGTGAAAGTGGTGGGAGAACTACAGGGACTACAACGAAGTAAGAAAAACAATTAATAAAAAAAAAGAAAAAGAAAAGAAAAAACCAGGTTGGTGGAGCTTTGACTTTTTACATTGCACAGCTTGAAATTTTAAACCTTTTTGAGATGAGCAAGGTCACTTTTTTTTCACCAACAGTAAAAAAAAGGGCAGCAAGGTTCACAGCAGTGAACTTTGCTCTCAGGTGTGTGGGTTAGGTGAGATTCCAATTCCGATGCCCACCATGTAGGGATTGTGGGGCCTTAGACCTGA